CTAACTCGCCGAAAACGCTTCAAAATGGCCTGAGACGCTGGTAATCAACAAACAAAGCAACAAGGCAATATGGTAAGTCCATTTTATTTCAAAACAAGACATTTTTTTCTCTCTTTTAAGGCAAACCGATAACATCCCATACAAACCTTTATAAATATAAAACATTGCGCAACACTGTAAGAGTCACGTCCGCTTTTCTTAGAGTTATCAGTTAACGTAATTTTAAAACTATTTTCTTACCTACGTCCTTAACAACTACCAATATAACGGCCATCACATTTCCTAAGATATTGAAGCCTTGGCATACATAAGCTTCACCATCATCTTCGGTCGTGTTCAAAATCTGAATCTTGTTTCCGGAAGTGACATGTCTGCCAACTGGAAGTTGAGCTTCCGGTTGACCTGCTCCAGGAGATCTAGACTACTGGGGCTGGGTAACCAATGTGTTGCACGTTAAAGTCGTGTCCCTAGTCTTGCAGGCTGTGATGGATATTTCGGGGAAGTGAACAAGTCTTGCAGCAACTGCAAAAATAGGTACGACAAAAAAAAAATTGACAAATAATTTAGACAATTTAACCGGCCTAAATAGAGCACTTTTCGAAAGGTTTCTTTAGAACCAAAACTAAAGAAATCACAACAGCCATGTAAATAATAACTTAGTTACAATTAGCAAAGAAGAGCCAAAGAGAAACTCAAATTAATGTCAAAAGCGCAGGAAAACGCCACTGGCTAAAATGTGTGTCTGCTCGCGATTTGTTTCAGTTTAACATCTGATCGCCTCACAGGTTACGTGCGTTATATAAACTAATCACGGAGCGCAACATCCTTAAAGTTTCAGACGAAGTTAGCCGCGTTAAGATTTCTACCTAAGGATAGATTTTTTTAAGTGATCCTTAATTACTACTTTCTGGTAATTCTAGATCTGGCGCACCTTGGACAGTGATATTGAAAGCAGAATGCGCGCTGCCCGAAAGATTTTCGGCCAGACATTTATAAGTACCACGATCTTCAAACTGAATGTCATCAAAATGCAGTGTTCTTCTTCTAAAAGCTCTCCTGTTGTCTATCACGTGGTCTTCCTTAAACCAGGTGATTATCGGCGTGGGAAAACCAACCGCCTCACAACCTATCAAAACATTCTGGTGTTCCGTGACAGTTACAGATGGGGGAGGTTTTTCGGTGAATTTTGGTCGTCCTAGAACACAAACACGTAATACATCAGCTTGACGGTCAAGGAGTGTGTAATTTATGAATCTGATAGTGCCGTGTGACCGTCCGCGTGAGGGTAGTCCTAAAAAAGGGTAAAGTTAATTTGGACCGCGAGAAGAATGGAAAGAAAACATGGTGGAAATTCTTTTCAAGACCCGACTTTGGCTAAAAAACAAATGGGATTTCTTCGAGAAATCATGTATTTTCAAAGCGTCAACATCTGATAGGCTCTTCACAACAAACACGATTTATAACTGAATGCAAAGAGTTTCACATTTTAACCGACTGAAAACTCTTAATTTGGAATACCATTTTGGCAATAATTCTGTGAAATAGGGGGGAAACATTTACTTGAACAGCCAGAAAAACAACAAATTAGCGGCTTTTAACAAGAACTCTGTCACTGCGCAATGATCTTTACCTAACTGCCGGTGCTTCTCATTTCGTCCTGATTTCCCGGAGGGACTTCTAAGTCCAGGTGGACCTCATTGAAGGTCCCCTACCGCCTCTTTTTCCCGGAGGACCAGGGTGACCACCTGCTC